CTGCCGGTCGTCACAAATTATATCGAAAATCAATAACTGCGGCAAACCAAATGTTGGCAAAACGGCGAGGTAGACCACCAAAGAATAAAGGCTTTGTCCGGCCTGAAGCTTCGAAAGTAAATGAGACACCAGTAGCTGAAGAATTATATCCAGACTGTGGAACTAATTCCAGCGAACAGGTAGATTTTGATCTATTAAACTGAAACTTTTGGAGCCATTTTTTTTATTGCAGAAAAAAAATGAGTTGTTAATGTCTTCGTATGGTTTGTAATTTGTTGAACTTAAACATCTTTCTAGGTTATATTTGACGAAGCAGATGAGGTTGATCCGTGTTCACAGCAGGATGAATCCGATAATGAAGCAAATGGCGAAACAAATGGTGCAGCTGTTGAGAAGTTGTTCAAATGCGATTACTGCACATACAAAAGTTCAACTGCAGTTCTCATTAAGCATCATGTTGTACGAGCACATACTCGCAACATTGCTTATGTTTGTTCCCTTTGCGTTTATGAGTGCCGTTGGAATCGAGATTACTATGAACATATGAAGACACATTTCTCGGTATGTGTTTTAAGAGTTAATGATTTAAGATTGGTTTTTTTTTTTTTTTGAAAGAAAAGCAAAGTTACTTCACCCATTAGCCAGAAAGGAGGGAAAATATGCATAAATTCGGCATTTATGTTAATATCTGCAAACTACAGATACGATTAGTAGCATAAGACATCTAAGCTTTTCGATATAAATTATTCAATAATTTTCTGATAATTTAAGGGTCCACCTTTTCAATGCGATATGTGCCAGTATGGCAATGATTCCATCCAAAGTTTACTTTCACATCGCCTAACACACTGTAAGTCTCTTTGCATTCACCTGTTATTTTAGCTGAGGATCAAATGATTCTTTCAAGCTTCTCAAAATATTCATCTCTCCATAGATTAGCATTAGCCTTGAGGAATTTCAGTGAATTCTCATACAGAGAAAAAATTCCGAATTGTTTATCGTTCATTATATAACTTTATTTCAGCTGATGAAAGACCATTCAGATGTACATTATGCGGTTACAAAAGCCGCTCAAGAAATCATCTTATTGGTCACATCCGCAATCATGCCGTTGATAAGCCTTTTCATTGCTCCGAATGTGGTCGTGCATTTGCAATGAAAAGTACCCTAGATCAGCATGTCGCTGCGCATTCCGAAAATAGGTGTTGTCATCTTTAAAGCTCAGTGTGCAAAAACTACCTTTTTCTTGTGACCTCTCAAGTTAGCATTACACATAGCAGTTTGGAATAAATTTAGTTTTTATTATTTATAGGCCTTATCAATGTCCTCATTGTGATTTCTCGACAAAATATCAAAGCCATCTGATTTCTCATCGCCGTATTCATTCGGGTGACGTTTTTCATTGTCATTATGACGAATGTACCTATTCATCACCCAAGAAAAGTCAGCTTGCTGCACATTTGAGGTAAATTTAGTGCCGATAAGCTTTTTATTATCTTTTTTTGTATCTGTAAATCAGACGCAAAATTCTTATAATAGAATTAATAATGAAATAAAGCTTTTTATTCGTTATTTTTAGAGTTAGGAGGAAATGCTAGAGTTTAAAGAAATCATGAGTTGGTTTTGATTTAAACGAGTTAGCTAACTAAGAATTAAAGGAATCACGTGAAGTGTCTACTATATTTCTTACAGGTGTGCTTGGATAGACATTTGTATGTAGGTTTTTGATAAAATTTACAGACGTGTGGGAGTTTTAATGTCGCTATCAATTGTATTTTAAAAGTTTGTAGTTCAGATGTTTTAGAAATGTTACTGAAAGATATTTGGGGCAATACAACAAGTCTCTGGATGTGTATCAGTAAATGTAGCTTATTTCCGAAGAAATAATCGACATAACTTAACGTACTATTCGGTCACCAGTTTTTATTCATACTTTTTGGTTCAATGAATTTTGTTACTTCCAGAACGCATTTAGCAGTCAGGGCGCATCACTGTAAGACATGTAATCGTTCTTTTATCGAGAAATCACATTTGGTACGACACGAAAGGATACATTTGGAGGATAAACCTTTTAAGTAAGTTTCAGAAATCAAAATTAAACTTTCAAAATTAAATTCAGTCGAAGATAAGAAGCTGAATGACTAAACAATATTTAGATGCGACAACTGTGATTATTCATCTTCGAGGCGGGATAAGTTGAAAGAACATATCCAGAAACATCATAGTAATTCGAACAACGGTAAACAACATAGACGAAGATATCGGCGTGCGAAACAGTTAGCGCAGCTTGCTGCACAAGCGAAGGTTTGAGTGTCGTGATCTTTGTTTTGTTTTGTTTTATAATTTCATTTCTCTTAGTCCTTTTGAAATCCTTTAAATTTAATGCCTTACACTTCGAAAAGTTGCATCGTAAATTAAGTTTAAGATGCAAAAATATCGCAGTAAATTTTAGGCTAGATTCTGCTTTCTTTTATCGAATTTTCAAATTTCATTTTTTTTAAATTAATATAGCTTTTGACTAGCTTCATTACATGATCTAATTATGTAGAAGATCTTGAAAGTTGTGACAAGACGGATAAATTTGGGCAGCATTACTACGAATAAGGTCTAACATTTCAATTACGTCGAAAAATTTGCATTGCAAACCTAATATGCTTCATTATTATTAAGTTGAACACTTTTTGTTTTCTTGAATTTCATGAATCTTTTGATTTAGCAGACGCAACCAAATATGGAAAATATGTTTCGACCAATTCCTTCCTCAGAGCTAGTTGATAATTCACCGAATAGCATGAAGAGACCTGTTGCCACCAATGTATTACCTCAACAAAACATCTCCGAATTTGCACTATCTGATATATCTCGACCTCAAAACGAGCATCGTCAATCACAAGCAGCTGGACATATCGAATCAACGCAACAAACGCATCCACATTCGTTAATGGACTTTTCATCTCTTAATACCACAAATCCTCTGAACATTGGACGACCATCCTCAGCAACGGTGCCTGCAACTACAGCGATGTCTGTTTCACCAGCAATGAGCCTCAACTTTCATATAGGTAATTTCGTCTTGATTTCATTTATTTCATTTTTTATATTTTTGGTTCGTGTTTTTCAACAGCAGTTGGTAAATGAAATAAAGAATAAGTGACTGAATATACTTTAGGTGCTATTATGGATTCTCCAATTGAATCGCTACGAACTCCTGTGCCACGTAGTCCACACAGTGTTAGTATACATTCGGATTTTTTTGACGGTTCTTCACCTGCTGTTGGCCAAGATGCGCAGCGCCCTATGAGTTTGCCTCCATACAGCGGTGGAGGAAGTTCAGCAGCTAATAATCAGGTTGGTCCGTCTTGGGCGTGGTGATCTTCAATATTTGGTTATTATAAAGTAAATGTCATTCATCAATCAACATGTCATAAATAGGATCGAGATAGTTGTAGTCAAATACGTGATCAACAGGCCTTGGCAAGTACTTGACTTAAAACAAGTGAAATAGTTCCTTCTGTTTTCTAGTTAATACATGGAAAGATGTCGAAAATGTAACTGCCAATTAAGAGATACGACAAGGGGATTGGGGCTTGATCTCGTGATGTAATATATCCTGCATGGTCGCAATGTAATGTTAATATTACATATTGTGGATATACAAATTTTCCGTTTTTGTAATATATTCATCAGATCTTTCAATGAAGTGAAACTATCAAAATATTTATGTTTTGTGAGCCGCGAAATCCATCAGTTTCATGGCTGTCTTCATGCATTTAGTATACTGACATAGTCTTCGTACCGACAGTAATACTGCTCATTTTATACATTTTCGGAGCAAAATGTTTAAAAAATTCAAGTAAAATTTTTAGAGAAATGTTTTCCTCGAATACGTGCATTTGCCTTTGCATTATTATTAATTTATCTCAAATATTTTCCCTTGTACGAGATCTCATCTTTTTTCATTTGGTTTTTCACATGTTTATCGCTGCATCTATTGGCTTGATGTGCATAAAATACTGTAAGCCGATTCTCAACTCATTTGATTATATAAAACCAACACTGGGGTGTGCTTCAAATTGGTAGTGGGAGTGTCTCAGTCAGTCCCACCATTCAAAGAGAAATTCATATACCATGAACGTCCTGCATATTTACTGCATCCATAAAAATCATTCTTTCTTATCAGTGATAGCCGGTTAATATATGATTAGCAAACTCAGTACTAAATTCGCTGTACAGTGAATATATACGTTTTATCTAACCGAACTTGCAGTTTCAATGACAATTTGTCAAGTAATTATCAAAGTAATTAGAATAAAAACAAATTTTACTTAAAATATAAATATGCAAAAGTCTGACGTCTAGGTTTTGGAGAAAAAAAAAGAGGCAAAGAAAGACTTAACAGACAGCAAACTAGCTTCCAGTGCTTCAAAGATCGCTGTGTAAAATGGCACCAGCTAAATATGCCAGTGACGGTAGATGACAAAACCTGTGTACAAGACTATAGAATATCGAATTGATTATTAAAATGTAACCCAGTAACATGGAACGATGAACAAGGACTCCTCAGGAATAAGATACGATACGGTCATATTCGGGATGTAGAAAATGAATTATTTGATATTTCCATGGCAAAAAGCTCCTGAAGTAGAAGGAAATTACGAGGAATTTGTCTGCATTATGGATATACATACATATATCGGGAACGGAAAAACAATACATAGTACAACCTCAAAGAACTTACACCGCATTTTATATCACCAAAAATTACTTAATGCTAATATACTGAACGCATAAAACCAACCAATACCAACCAATAACTATAAAGTAGTAGTAGTAAAATCTCTTATGTGAAAAGTTATAACAATGAAGTAAAACATGACAGATTGAGAAAGTACAAACAACTTTTTTTCAGACAATTTTCCCCCACACGTTGAAAAAAAGTGATAGAAAATTTTTCAACGCAACTATTCATAACAAATTATTTAAGAGTTTGGATAGGAATTTTAGGTTTTCTGGATTTCGAACAATTTAACGTCGGTATCATACCAAATTGGCGGGTCGATATTTCTAAAAAGCAAAGGGAATATAAATTATTACATAACGAAATATAAATAATGGCCAAAATATTTATGCACAAAGCTCGTGTTTCAGTGCAAAAATTAATTTTCTGTACCTCCAATCATCATTCCTTTGAATCTGTGCATAAAACTTGCGAACAAAAAGAAAACTCGATGTTAAATCTTCGCAGCTTACAAAATTTAAAATCGGATAACAAAATTCTCAAACAGCTGATTATAATTTTCCGTAGCTCAGAAAGATACCTTAAATAAATGACGCCCCACAGATACGTTCGAAACCAATGATTAGTACCAGCGTTAGCCTGATATTTTCTAATAAGTATTGGATGAGGAACAGGTAATAATCCTACCAAAGTACCATGCTGCAGGAATTTCAAGATTTCGCTTTCATCTGTTAAACCTCTGCAAAATTTAGCATTTCACTTGAACAGAACATATCAAATATTTGCGAAATATTTCAGTTCTAAAGCTATCTTACGCAATTAAAAAAAATGTTTTAATGGAAATATTGAAATCGGAAGTTTTCTTACAATATTGCCAGCGATATCTTAAATTTATCTTACTGAAAATAAAAAACTTACTTATCGATGCAAATCTTTTCAACCTGTGGCACAAGAACTTGCAGAAGCCTCATCACCGTTTGAAGAGGAAGTTTACTTTTCCAGGACTCCACCCAATCTGTTGTTGCCACCCAACCTTCCTGTACACCATTATTTTTTTCATGTGCCAAATCATTCATTCCTTTTTCTGTCATTGTTGATACTTGCGGCGTTTCAGCCAGCGTAGCCTTTATGTTCGTCTTGTTTTCCACGTC